GCTGGTGAGTACTGGAGCACGTAATGTTTCTACCAGCGCAGCGTGCACGTTATTGTAGCGTGTGCCGTGGTATGTTTCGGTGTCGTTGAATATAAAACGCTTGATTTGATGGCACGAAGAGATGGTACCCCAACAGATACCGAGCATACGTAATTTTTGCGGCACACGTACGTATCGCAGCAATTATAATGCACATTTTCGCATATGTCCCCGCGTCATCATCATCATCTTCATCATCAGCCTGACTACGTCCACTGCAGGAAAAAGGCCTCTCCCACGTTCCGCCAGTTAATCCGGTCCTGTGCTTGCTGCTGCCAATTTATACCCACAAACTTCGTAATATCAATTGCCCACCTAAAGTTCTGTCTCCCTCTAAACCGCTTCCCTTCTCTGGGAATCCAGTTAGTTACCATTAATGACCAGCTGTTATCCTGTCTGTGTGCTACTATGCCCCGCCCATGTCCATTTCCTTTTCTTCATTTTAACCATGATATCCTTAACTCCTGTTTTTCCCCTAATCCACTCTGCTCTCTTCTTGTCTCCTAAGGTTACACCTACCATTTTTTTTCCATTGCTCGCTGCGTCATCCTCAATTTAAGCTGAACCCTCTTTGTAAGTCTCCAGGTTTCTGCTCCGTAGCTAAGTACCGGCAAGCTACAGCTGTTATATACCTTTCTCTTGAGGGATAGTGGCAGTCTACCTGTCATAATTTGAGAGTGCTTGCTGAATGTGCTCCACCCCAATCTTATTATTTTAGACACTTCAATCTCGCGGTTCGGGTCTGCGGTTATTACCTGCCCTAAGTAGACACATTCTTTAACAAATTGAAGTGCACTATTACCTATGTTGAAGCGCTGCTCTTTTCCAAGGTAGTTGTACATTACTATCATTTTCTGCTTAATATTTTAAGACCCACCTTTCTGCTCTCCTTGTCTAACTCCGTAATCAAGAGTTGCAATTTGTCCCCTGAGTTACTCAGCAATGCAATGTCATCGGCGAAGCGCAGATTACTAGGGTACTCTCCATTAACTCTTATCCTTAACTGTTCCCATTCTAGGCTTATGCAAACCTGTAAGCACGTGGTAAATAGCATTGGGGAGATAGTGTCCCCCGGCCTTACACCCATCTTGATTGGATATTCTGTTGCTTTCTTTGTGAAGCACTATGGTAGCAGTTGATCCCCTGCAGATTTCTTCCAGATTGTTTATATATACTTCTACGCCCTGATTCCACAGTGTCTGCATGACGGCCAATATTTCTACTGAATCAAACGCCTTCTCGTAATCTATGAAGGCTATAGATAGTGGTTGGTTATATTCTGAGGATTTCTTCATTACCTGATTGATAGTATGACTGTGGTAAATTGTTGAGTCGCCTGTTCGAAATCCTGCTTATTCCTTTGGTTGATTGAATTCTAATGTTTTTTTAACTCTGTTAGCAATTACCTTTGTAAATAGCTGCTTTGTAAATAGCTTTGAATATGCCCCCACGTATACCGGCCATATTCGCATCACCCGTGTATTGCTGTAACGGTTCCAAGTGTCAGTGTTTGTAAGCCTGGAGCTGCACGCCACTCCTAAGAGAAACAGGAAATTGTTTTTGCCGCGAAGTTGACGAAACGTAAATGAGCTTTCTCGATTGCTTCGCAAGGTTTCCCAGTGGAGGCTAGAAAAACAAGCGGTCGTTCTATTCCACCACACCGCATGATTGTATGTCTGGCCATGCTTATCCCTCTGCTTATTTCAGGTAAGAGTTGTAAATGTTGTAAAAATGTTGTAGGAGTTGTGAAAGCGCTGGTTACATATGTATACATATGTAACCGGCGATTCTTGCTTTGTGTAAACACAACTTTAAAGTTTATGTATAACTGTAAAGTATTGTTTAGACATCCATGAACCTAAATTAACAATTTTGTCTTGTGTCTCTGTCCGCACAAGGAGCGCTGCCGATCGAACGTTGCTCCTTCAGCTACACTGGCTGTCACCGATAGCTCCCGGCTGCACTTAGCCGGTACTTCACTGACTCATTTGTAAAAACACGCAGTTTTCACTTGGTAATTTGGTACGCCTTCACGATTTGACTCCCTGACATACGTTTTCAGCGGATTGTATTGGTATTTCTATGGGTGTTTTTTGATATAACTGCATATATCTGTACCCTGGCACGCCGGCTCTATACTGTTGGCGGAGGCCAGAAAAACGGCTATCGCTCGACATCACCTCTCCGTAAATGCATTATTGGCATTGATTGACCTTCCACTCACTTAAGGTACAGTTTAGGTAACAGTTAAAAATGTTGCAAAGCTAAGTGCAGAAGCTTCAAGCATCGCAACTCAGCTGCTTCGAGAGCAGTCTTAACACAGTGCCCCGTCCCAGCGAGGCCTATATCATGCCGGACGCGTCGGTGTACACACCGCCAGCGCTTATTCCTTTCGGTAGGCACAATTCTAAAGTGTAAGAATAACTTTGAAGTACAGTTTAGACATCCCTGAGCCTAAATCGACCATATATTCGCGTATGCGTTCCCCGCACGAGAAGCAGCGGCGATTGATGTGTCGTGCTTTCAGCAACGCAGGCTGTCACCGAAACCTTTCTTCTTAGCGCAGGCGCCGGTACTTCTCCGACTCGAATGTAAGAACACGCAATTTTGAGTTGGTAATTTGGTACGCGTTAGTGAACTAATATACTGGCATACTTTTTCAGCGGATTGCATTAGTCATTCCTTCAGCGGTTGCTTAGTTGCAGGTATCGATACAACTGAAAATATGTAATCTGGCCCGCCTGATGTGTACTAATACATCATCGCTTGGGCGAAAAAAAAAACTCAATAATTACTCGTGTGCGCGGATATCTACCGAAGAAAACATTTCAATCATCTGTACACGTTGACCAGTAGCAAGTGCGAGAACCGACTATCAAAGCAGAAAACTATCGGCAGTAACAGCTGACAATCTGTGGCTGCTCCTCCAGTTAATTTGAGATTTTTCAGAGTTAGGATGTGGATGCTTCAAAAAACTTTGCGCTCTTGCTAATATCCGCACGTCGTTCGGGGCCCGGAAGCCAGCCGTCACTGTCGAATCAAGACGCAATTGTTATTTGGAAAGGAATATCTGTCCGTCTTGACTGTGTATTTGTAAACATAAAGTTGAATGGTGCGTTGTTCGGATAAATAGTCATTTTACAACCCCTCAAGCATGTTCGGGCGTGGCGTAGTGGTAGCGTGCTGAGTTCAGAATCAGGAGTGGCGAGTTTGAATCCATCAGAGCAGTTTTTTATTTTTTATTTTCATTTTTTGTAATGTGAATACGCTCTATTTTAATTATATATTTGTTTATTTATGGCAAACTGGCACACCCGTTATAACCCTGTGAAGCCATTTTGCGCAGAGTACTGGGACGCTGCCGCTCCAGCGTCTCAGTAAGAGCGCTGGGAGGCGCTGGTACTAGCGCCATACTGGGCCCATCATGAGGCATGGTGCTGGACGCTGGTACCCAGTGGCACTGAATTTTCCAATCGGGACGCTTCGCAAACTATGTAACGCTTGCACTAAAAGGAGAGTGTTTCGAACGTTTTGCTAAAGTGTGATGGTGGTGGCACCTACCCGTCGCCTTGCATTCCTCACCTTATCACCTCTGAGACGGGCACGCACACCCGTCTCTAAGCCACGCGCTTCGTTTTCCAGGAAGACTGCCAGGTGATGCTCATGTCTTACGTGTGACGTGATTTGATGCGCTTTTTCGCATCCACTGCACGCTCGAGGTACTCTAACGGAGCGCCTCCAAAATACCCTTCAACAATTTTCTTTCGCAGAACATCAAATTATTTGTTCACTATCTCCACACGCAAGACTATCGTCTTTCGATGACATTTGCAGATTACATGCAGATACGGGGCCAATTTCGTTTTCTCATTGAAGTAGCGACAATCGCTGACGCCGATCTCGTTGGGCTGCGCTCGTTTCGTTTGAGATTACCCTATAGAGTGGCAGACGCCCAGATAACACAGTGGGGCACACATCCCGTGCTAATGACCAGGGCGGAGGGGGAGGAGAGGTATGAACGAAGAGTTGAAAAATTAGGGGGTAGGGGGAAATGGGGATTACCAATCAAATGGTAATCTATTTAGCCTTTAATTATTTATCAATATTTCTGTGGGTGTTTCAAAAAAGATTCCATTGCTTGAGAATCGACGTTTGCATAGGAAGTGAAGCTTGAACGGGTTGTTATGCGTTGATCTTAGTTGATACAGTGCACACGAGAAGAAGACAAAGAATAGCAAAAAAATACTGGCCTCGTAGCCTGCCTAAGCAATCGCACCTGTCAGCGCCTATCCTGTTGCTTTTTTTTTTGTTTACGTGAACACTGGTTCATTCTATTTCTCGGGGTTGGGCAAAAAAACTTGTAGTAGCCTATATGTGAACACAATACAATGATTTCCAGCTTATTCCTATAGTGAATAACAAAAAAGAAATTTAAAATATCTTTCAAAAATAAATAATAATAAAATAAAAATGAATCCATGAAAGGAAATAAGAGCCAATATCATATCGAATGACTTAAAGTTCGAGGTTACCAGACAGTTGAGTTTACCGCACCCGAAGAAAATCGAAGGTATGTTTTACTTTATCCACATTGCCAGTTATATCACCAGTATTCATCGGGAACACATTAAAGCAGACATTAAAATCAGATGCATTTGGATTCTTGAATCAAGTGACATACTGCATACATGTTTCAGTGGCAATGTCCTAAGACGGAGGCACCAAAGCTTAGAACATTATCGGCAGTTAAATTTAAACCTACCGTGAAAAAAATGGAATAACTAGAAGTGTTTTTCTGAATAATGGATAGTGCTTGTGGCTTGCACGGGTCATGTGCGTCGAAAGAACGTTTATTGAACGATAGCGCTCTCATATATACATTCTATGCCGAGGGGCGTTGCCCCCAATCTGGCGCACGTGTGCATGACTGTCACATCTCCCTTCTTAAACAAACAAAAAGACTAAAGTTCCGGCATGGGGTATCTTTGCGGTGGCCGGCGATTGCGTTCGCTTCTGCGTAGTTGTGGCTCGGCGGGGCCCACGTCAGCTTGATGTTCTTGTGTGGGGGGCACCAGTGGAGTGGGGGCCAGACGGAGATGTTCTCTGGTGCGCTGCAACTGGAGTCCATCTTCGGTCTCAACAATGTAGGCTCTCGGACTGTTGGCAGGCTTGATAACCGTAGCAGGGAACCAGGTCTTTGATGGTACGTTGTACACTGTGACGCGGGAGCCCTCAGGAAGTCCTGGTAGCGGCCTTGTACCCCTGTTGTAGTAGGAACGTTGTCTACTTCTGATGACGTGGAGCCGCCGTTGAACCTCCTCTGGCGGTATGGTCTGCGGTCGCAGGTGGGTTTCCGTGACTGGCAGCAGCGTCCTCGCATTTCGGCCCATGAGTCTCTGCATTGGAGATTTCAAATAGGAATCGCGAGGAGTGTTTCTCCATTCAAGCAATGCAGCACAAAAATCCACTGTGCCGTACCGATACCTCTTCAGCAATTTTTTGGCTTCTTGCACCGCACGTTCAGCCATTCCCTTTGATCGAGGGTGATAGGGGCTGGAGCGAACATGGTGCAAGCTAATCTTACCGACAAATTCACGAAAGTCCTGGCTGCTGAATGGCGGTCCATTGTCCGTGCATAGGCGCTGCGGGAAGCCATGAGTGGCGAATATGTCTGCGAAGGCAGCAATCACCTTGTCGGCTGTCGTCTTCACGGGCCTGATTTCGAAAAAGAAAGAATAAAAGTCAACAACCACCAAGTACTCGGTAGCATTGTGATAGCATATGTCGGCTCCCACAACTTCCCAGGGTAGGCTAGGAATTTCATGGTTCATCAATGGCAAGCGCCGATTTCGTGGCTTGTGCTTTTGGCAGGTCTCACAGCGTCGAGCAACTTCCTCTAGATCGCTGTTTATAGAAGGCCAAAAAAGTACAGCTCGAGCACGTGCTTTCATTTTTTCTGCTCCCCCATGCGCTGCATGAAGGCAGGCAAGAACTTCGCTGCGCATCTTGGCCGGAATGATGAGGCGGTTGCTCCTGAATACAAGGCCATCTTGCGTATGCAGCTCGTCGCGGAAGCTCCAGTAGCATCGTAGCTCGCTGCTGACGTCAGCTTTGCTCTCCGGCCACTGACTGCTTGCGTACTGTCGAAGTTTCACCATCACAGGGTCCTGGTCGGTCTCTTGTAGAACTTGGCTCAGCCGTCTGTCTGAAACCTGCAGGCAAGCAATGGTGTTCAACTGATAATTCAGGCACTGTTCTTTCAATATTGCTTGGCTCGGGGACCGTGATAAAGCGTCAGCAACAAACAGCTGTTTTCCAGGTGTGTATTTGACGACTATCGGGTACCTCTGCAAGCTGAGGCGCATGCGCTGAAGCCTTAGAGGACATTGGCATAACGGCTTCTTAAATATAATTTCTAGTGGCTTGTGATCGGATTCTACCACAACTTCAGGCTGCCCGAAAAGATAGTCGCGGAATCTTTCACAGCCGTGGACAATTGCCAGCATCTCCTTTTCGATCTGGGCGTACCTTTGCTGTGTTTCTGTCAAGGAACGCGACGAATACGCTAGTGGATGCCCGTCCTGTATGATCACTGCGCCAACTCCGTTCTGACTGGCATCTACCGACAGCCTGATTGGTTTCCCCTTCTCGTAGTAGCTTAGTACAGGGGCTGTCGCAAGCGCTTCCTTCAGAGCCTTGAAGCTTGCATCTTGGCGGTCCTCCCAAAGCCACGCGACATTCTTCTTTAGTAATTCTCGAAGTGGTGCTGTTAGGTCCGACATATTCGGAATAAAGCGAGAGACAAAATTTACCATGCCCAGGAACGTCTGCAGCTCTTTCTGGTTGCTTGGCGTCTGGACTTGCAAGATGTCTTCTAGCCGCTGTGGATCCAGGCTCAGGCCGTCGCGCGTCAAAATGTGTCCCAAGTACCGGACGGACTCCTGTAAAAAACGGCATTTCTTTCTGTTCAATTTCAGTTTGTACTCTCGGCAACGTCGTAGGACGTGTTCAAGGTTTGCATCATGCTGCTCTCTTGATCGGCCCCACACTAGAATGTCGTCCATGACAACCGCTACGCCTTCGAGGCCTTCTAGCACGCGGTGCATGGCCCGCTGAAATATTTCCGGCGCCGACGAGATTCCAAAGGGCATGCGCAAAAATCTATAACGGCCGTATGGAGTGCACATAGTGCAAATCTTAGAGCTTTCTTTATCCAGCTTGATTTGCCAGAAACCGGAGGCTGCGTCCAAAGTTGTAAAGTACTGGGCCCCACTTATCGAAGGTGCTATGTCTTCCAATGTTGGCATTGGATAGTGCTCGCGAAGCAGAGCTTTGTTTAGGTCGGAAGGATCAAGACAAATGCGTACCTTCTCTCCTTTTGTAACAACGACCATGTTGCTGGCCCACTCTGTCGGCTCGGTCACTTTCACGATGACTCCAGCAGTCTCCATGCGGTCGAGCTCAGCTTTCACCTTGCTTTGCAATGCTATTGGAATCCGCCGTGCTGGTTTCACTACTCCCTGGGACCCGGGCTTGAGCTTTAGATGGTAGACAATACCCTCCAGTTGACCCAGACCTTCAAACACGTCTTCGTAAGGCTTGGCAGTGCCGTAAAGCTCTATTTGGTCGACAGAGCAGACACGTTGGAGCAAGCCAAGCTCTTCGGCAACTGTACCGCTCAAGGTCACGGCGATTTCGTCATCCACGACGAAAAACTCTGTCAGAATCTTGCTTTCTCTCGTTGCCACTTCAAGACGAACTTGTTTCGTCGCTTTTTTCTGGAAGCCAAAAAATGTGTTTAAAACAACGTTGCAATCAAGTGGCTGCTTGTTTGTTATTTTCTGCAGCTGGCTGCGTGCTATAACCGAGCATGTTGCGCCTGTGTCTAACTTGCAAAAAATAGGCTTTCCTTCTATCTCAACGGTAGCCGTCCAGCGGTCGTCTTTCCCACGGGCATGCGATAGCGTTTCTAACCAGAAATCGCCTTCTTCTGCATCGACAGATGCTACTGCGTGCTCTTTCAAATGAAATCTTTTTTGCATCTTCTTGCAGGCTATCGCAAAGTGATTTCTGCCACCGCATTTCCTGCACGTGCGTCCCTTTGCTGGGCACACACGGTCGGTCTGATGAACCTTTGCGCACTTTGTACAACGCTGACCTTTCGCTTCAGATAGCGCGTTCATCTCGGCTGCGTAATCGCTTTTCGGGCGCGCCTGTATCTCTTCACACTGTTCTTTGCCATGTTCACGAGAGCGACACATTTCTACGGTCTTCGTGAAAGAAGCATTTTCGGAGATTAGCTTTTCTTGCAGCTTTTTATCTCTAATTCCGAGAATAATACGGCTTCTCAGCATACGCTCTTCAAGCTGCCCAAACTCGCAGCTTTTTGCTAGCACTCTGAGGTCTGTCAGCCAGTCATTGAAACTTTCACCGTCCTTTTGGTCGCACTTTCCAAAGCGGAACTCATGGTAGGCTAAGTTTAGAGCTGGTTTGTAAAATGCCTCAAACTTCATTTTCAGTACTTCTACGTCCGACTTCTCTTCGTCAGTTGCAAATCAAGAGTGCTGTACGTCTTGCGTGCGTCCTCTCCGATAATCATAAGAAAGGTGGCTGCCTGTACCTCTTTCGGTTGCTGGTTCAGGTATGTTGCCGTTGCGAAGAGCTCGAACTCTTGCCGCCATGTCTTCCAGCTTCGCCATACGTCTCCTGTGGTGTCCAGGGCTTTCGGCGGTGGCAATAGCGTGGTGACTGGTCCGCTGGCCTGCTGGCGCTGTTCCCCGTTCTGCATGCTTGTAGCTGGTTGGGACCTCCGAGCCGCCCCTGTTGGCTTGCTACGCGTCCGCTGTTCGTTCGCCGGCTGCGTGTATCGGCTGCGGTCCGACCACTTCTGACACCATGTGGCTTGCACGGGTCATGTGCGTCGAAAGAACGTTTATTGAACGATAGCGCTCTCATATATACATTCTATGCCGAGGGGCGTTGCCCCCAATCTGGCGCACGTGTGCATGACTGTCACATCTCCCTTCTTAAACAAACAAAAAAACTAAAGTTCCGGCATGGGGTATCTTTGCGGTGGCCGGCGATTGCGTTCGCTTCTGCGTAGTTGTGGCTCGGCGGGGCCCACGTCAGCTTGATGTTCTTGTGTGGGGGGCACCAGTGGAGTGGGGGCCAGACGGAGATGTTCTCTGGTGCGCTGCAACTGGAGTCCATCTTCGGTCTCAACAATGTAGGCTCTCGGACTGTTGGCAGGCTTGATAACCGTAGCAGGGAACCAGGTCTTTGATGGTACGTTGTACACTGTGACGCGGGAGCCCTCAGGAAGTCCTGGTAGCGGCCTTGTACCCCTGTTGTAGTAGGAACGTTGTCTACTTCTGATGACGTGGAGCCGCCGTTGAACCTCCTCTGGCGGTATGGTCTGCGGTCGCAGGTGGGTTTCCGTGACTGGCAGCAGCGTCCTCGCATTTCGGCCCATGAGTCTCTGCATTGGAGATTTCAAATAGGAATCGCGAGGAGTGTTTCTCCATTCAAGCAATGCAGCACAAAAATCCACTGTGCCGTACCGATACCTCTTCAGCAATTTTTTGGCTTCTTGCACCGCACGTTCAGCCATTCCCTTTGATCGAGGGTGATAGGGGCTGGAGCGAACATGGTGCAAGCTAATCTTACCGACAAATTCACGAAAGTCCTGGCTGCTGAATGGCGGTCCATTGTCCGTGCATAGGCGCTGCGGGAAGCCATGAGTGGCGAATATGTCTGCGAAGGCAGCAATCACCTTGTCGGCTGTCGTCTTCACGGGCCTGATTTCGAAAAAGAAAGAATAAAAGTCAACAACCACCAAGTACTCGGTAGCATTGTGATAGCATATGTCGGCTCCCACAACTTCCCAGGGTAGGCTAGGAATTTCATGGTTCATCAATGGCAAGCGCCGATTTCGTGGCTTGTGCTTTGGCAGGTCTCACAGCGTCGAGCAACTTCCTCTAGATCGCTGTTTATAGAAGGCCAAAAAAGTACAGCTCGAGCACGTGCTTTCATTTTTTCTGCTCCCCCATGCGCTGCATGAAGGCAGGCAAGAACTTCGCTGCGCATCTTGGCCGGAATGATGAGGCGGTTGCTCCTGAATACAAGGCCATCTTGCGTATGCAGCTCGTCGCGGAAGCTCCAGTAGCATCGTAGCTCGCTGCTGACGTCAGCTTTGCTCTCCGGCCACTGACTGCTTGCGTACTGTCGAAGTTTCACCATCACAGGGTCCTGGTCGGTCTCTTGTAGAACTTGGCTCAGCCGTCTGTCTGAAACCTGCAGGCAAGCAATGGTGTTCAACTGATAATTCAGGCACTGTTCTTTCAATATTGCTTGGCTCGGGGACCGTGATAAAGCGTCAGCAACAAACAGCTGTTTTCCAGGTGTGTATTTGACGACTATCGGGTACCTCTGCAAGCTGAGGCGCATGCGCTGAAGCCTTAGAGGACATTGGCATAACGGCTTCTTAAATATAATTTCTAGTGGCTTGTGATCGGATTCTACCACAACTTCAGGCTGCCCGAAAAGATAGTCGCGGAATCTTTCACAGCCGTGGACAATTGCCAGCATCTCCTTTTCGATCTGGGCGTACCTTTGCTGTGTTTCTGTCAAGGAACGCGACGAATACGCTAGTGGATGCCCGTCCTGTATGATCACTGCGCCAACTCCGTTCTGACTGGCATCTACCGACAGCCTGATTGGTTTCCCCTTCTCGTAGTAGCTTAGTACAGGGGCTGTCGCAAGCGCTTCCTTCAGAGCCTTGAAGCTTGCATCTTGGCGGTCCTCCCAAAGCCACGCGACATTCTTCTTTAGTAATTCTCGAAGTGGTGCTGTTAGGTCCGACATATTCGGAATAAAGCGAGAGACAAAATTTACCATGCCCAGGAACGTCTGCAGCTCTTTCTGGTTGCTTGGCGTCTGGACTTGCAAGATGTCTTCTAGCCGCTGTGGATCCAGGCTCAGGCCGTCGCGCGTCAAAATGTGTCCCAAGTACCGGACGGACTCCTGTAAAAAACGGCATTTCTTTCTGTTCAATTTCAGTTTGTACTCTCGGCAACGTCGTAGGACGTGTTCAAGGTTTGCATCATGCTGCTCTCTTGATCGGCCCCACACTAGAATGTCGTCCATGACAACCGCTACGCCTTCGAGGCCTTCTAGCACGCGGTGCATGGCCCGCTGAAATATTTCCGGCGCCGACGAGATTCCAAAGGGCATGCGCAAAAATCTATAACGGCCGTATGGAGTGCACATAGTGCAAATCTTAGAGCTTTCTTTATCCAGCTTGATTTGCCAGAAACCGGAGGCTGCGTCCAAAGTTGTAAAGTACTGGGCCCCACTTATCGAAGGTGCTATGTCTTCCAATGTTGGCATTGGATAGTGCTCGCGAAGCAGAGCTTTGTTTAGGTCGGAAGGATCAAGACAAATGCGTACCTTCTCTCCTTTTGTAACAACGACCATGTTGCTGGCCCACTCTGTCGGCTCGGTCACTTTCACGATGACTCCCGCAGTCTCCATGCGGTCGAGCTCAGCTTTCACCTTGCTTTGCAATGCTATTGGAATCCGCCGTGCTGGTTTCACTACTCCCTGGGACCCGGGCTTGAGCTTTAGATGGTAGACAATACCCTCCAGTTGACCCAGACCTTCAAACACGTCTTCGTAAGGCTTGGCAGTGCCGTAAAGCTCTATTTGGTCGACAGAGCAGACACGTTGGAGCAAGCCAAGCTCTTCGGCAACTGTACCGCTCAAGGTCACGGCGATTTCGTCATCCACGACGAAAAACTCTGTCAGAATCTTGCTTTCTCTCGTTGCCACTTCAAGACGAACTTGTTTCGTCGCTTTTTTCTGGAAGCCAAAAAATGTGTTTAAAACAACGTTGCAATCAAGTGGCTGCTTGTTTGTTATTTCTGCAGCTGGCTGCGTGCTATAACCGAGCATGTTGCGCCTGTGTCTAACTTGCAAAAAATAGGCTTTCCTTCTATCTCAACGGTAGCCGTCCAGCGGTCGTCTTTCCCACGGGCATGCGATAGCGTTTCTAACCAGAAATCGCCTTCTTCTGCATCGACAGATGCTACTGCGTGCTCTTTCGAATGAAATCTTTTTTGCATCTTCTTGCAGGCTATCGCAAAGTGATTTCTGCCACCGCATTTCCTGCACGTGCGTCCCTTTGCTGGGCACACACGGTCGGTCTGATGAACCTTTGCGCACTTTGTACAACGCTGACCTTTCGCTTCAGATAGCGCGTTCATCTCGGCTGCGTAATCGCTTTTCGGGCGCGCCTGTATCTCTTCACACTGTTCTTTGCCATGTTCACGAGAGCGACACATTTCTACGGTCTTCGTGAAAGAAGCATTTTCGGAGATTAGCTTTTCTTGCAGCTTTTTATCTCTAATTCCGAGAATAATACGGCTTCTCAGCATACGCTCTTCAAGCTGCCCAAACTCGCAGCTTTTTGCTAGCACTCTGAGGTCTGTCAGCCAGTCATTGAAACTTTCACCGTCCTTTTGGTCGCACTTTCCAAAGCGGAACTCATGGTAGGCTAAGTTTAGAGCTGGTTTGTAAAATGCCTCAAACTTCATTTTCAGTACTTCTACGTCCGACTTCTCTTCGTCAGTTGCAAAATCAAGAGTGCTGTACGTCTTGCGTGCGTCCTCTCCGATAATCATAAGAAAGGTGGCTGCCTGTACCTCTTTCGGTTGCTGGTTCAGGTATGTTGCCGTTGCGAAGAGCTCGAACTCTTGCCGCCATGTCTTCCAGCTTCGCCATACGTCTCCTGTGGTGTCCAGGGCTTTCGGCGGTGGCAATAGCGTGGTGACTGGTCCGCTGGCCTGCTGGCGCTGTTCCCCGTTCTGCATGCTTGTAGCTGGTTGGGACCTCCGAGCCGCCCCTGTTGGCTTGCTACGCGTCCGCTGTTCGTTCGCCGGCTGCGTGTATCGGCTGCGGTCCGACCACTTCTGACACCATGTGGCTTGCACGGGTCATGTGCGTCGAAAGA